AGCCGCTAGATGGCAGCCTCACAGAGCCCCGGGGGGTAGGAGAGACGTCCCCTTGCTGGTGTCCAGCGAGGGTGCCCCGTCTTCCCCCGGCCTGCCCCAAGGGCCCTGCTGCGGGCTGCTCTGCCAGAGCACGGCTGGGTTTACAGCACCTGCCCTCCCCCACGACCCACGGGCCCCCCAAAGCGCCCACCGGGAGAGGAGTGCGGCCATCTGAGCTCTGTTCCCCTTAGCCTGCAGCGGAGGCTCTCGAAAGAAGCCAAGCCCATCCCCGGCGGCGGCCGAGCCAAACCCAAACCCAGGCCAAAGCCCCAGCCGCGCCCCCCCCAGTGCCGCGCCCTCTACGCCTACGACGCCCAGGACACGGACGAGCTCAGCTTCAACGCCAACGACCTCATTGACATCCTTCGAGAAGGTGAGCACGCAGCCGGGGCCTCTTCCCCCGCCCCCCAGCAGGCAGCGCCGGGCAGTACTCTGGGAGGGAGCGTGGGCGAGTGGTTGGAGCCAGGAGGGGGCTGGGAGACAGGACTCAGGGGCACCATTCCTAGCTCGTGGATCGCTGGAGCTCCGGATCAATCTTCAACGCCAACGACCTCATTGACATCCTTCGAGAAGGTGAGCACGCAGCCGGGGCCTCTTCCCCCGCCCCCCAGCAGGCAGCGCCGGGCAGTACTCTGGGAGGGAGCGTGGGCGAGTGGTTGGAGCCAGGAGGGGGCTGGGAGACAGGACTCAGGGGCACCATTCCTAGCTCGTGGATCGCTGGAGCTCCGGATCAATCCTCCGGCTCCCAGGGCCTCCCTGGTCAGCTGGGACAGCTGCCTCTTGTGTTCTGAGATGGGGCAGCCTGGGCCTATCTCCTCACTTGTCAGTGCAGAGCTGCTGCACCCTACGGTTAATAAACACCCAGCGAGACCAGCCCCCCTCTTGGGAGCACTATAGCTCTGGGCCCCCTCCAGGGCCTGGGGCAAGCGAGGGGAGGGATGGGCAGAAGCCAGCCCCCAAGCAGTGCAGCGCCCATCCTCAGGCCTGGTGCGCCCAGCTGACAGGCCAGAACAGGGGCCCTCAGCCTAGCTCAGCCACTGAGCCCCCCCGTCCCAGGCCTGCTCCTGCAGGGCCTCTTTGGGGTAGGAGCCCTGCCTGCCCGGCTTGGGAGCGTGCGGCAGGGCTCTGAGCAGCTGCAGGGCTGGGGCAGCTTTGTGCATTCAGGCCGGCGGATCCACCCATCACTAAGGATCTGAGCTAGCTGCTTGTCTAGGGAAGGGCCTAGGCCCGCCTGGTGCCCCGCCTTTAGGCACTCAGTGCTGGGTTGGACCGTTATATGGCCACCTAGTCTGCGCTCCTGCAGAACACGCCTCGGTCAGCCTCGGCCCAAAGTCCCGGGGGAACGCGAGCGTATTTGAACCTCATGCAGCTTATTTCTAGCCGGGTTTTGTCCCGCTCCGAGGCTGGCTCCGAGAGGGGCCCACTATTGGAAGTTTCTCCCTAGTCTGCAGCCTGATTGCTATCCAGGCGGGTAAATCACCGCAGCATTTAGCCGTTGTGACTGCTGACTGGCCTCTTTCCTTTTCAGAGTCCTCAGGCTGGTGGCATGGCCGGCTGCGGGGGAGAGAAGGCCTGTTCCCAGGGAACTATGTGGAAAAACTCTGATGGACACGCCAGCTGTATGGCTCTGATTCGGAGCTGGGAATCTAGGAGGGAAGAGAAAGCTGCAGGATCCAAAGAGGAACAGAGCCCATCAGCCTTGCTCCTGGATTACATCTTGCTGCGGGGCTCGACTGAGGCCGCTCATTTAAGGCAATTGAGTGGGAGGAGGAGTGGGAGGAGGAAGATGAGATCGTGTTGAGCACCTTCTTCCTCTGGGGTTTTAACCCACGAGGCTGGTGCCTTGGGGTGCACAGGGAAGGATGCAGGTTAGCCTGGCCTCCTGAACGAGCATCCGGCAGCCTCTCTCATGAACCAGCCCGTCCTGCTTGCTCTTGCCAGGACTAAGCCAGCTGCTCCAAGAACCTGAATACAGCCGCTCGGGTTTGTTGCACAGGGTAAAACTCTCCTTCCTCCGCAACCGTAGCGAAAGAATAAATTGATGGTTTATTTTCTACACGAACCTCTGCTGCGTTTTCCAAACCAGCCGGCGGGTTTTAACTCAGCTCTGTACCCACAGAGCCAGCCAGCCTTTGGCCTGGTGGACGTGGACTTGACTGTATCCACCAGCTCCCATTTTACACTGGAACTGGGGAGTCAAACCCACATGATTGGAGGCGGCCAATGGGCAGTAGAATGCTGCCCGGCTACTTTAGAGATTTCCTTGAAAACCACCAATTCCTTTTGTTAATGGCAGGCTCTAGAGCAGCGTTTCTTAAACAGTGTGCCGTGGAACACGGGTGCGCTCTGGAGATAGGACGCCCATACGTCCCTTTTTTCCAGGACAGTCCCAGATTTAAAGACAACCACCGCTAGCATGGCACAGCAGCAACTCCCCACCTCCACCCAGCACGCAAGCGGCTCCCTTGGTGCAGGCAAACAGGGGCACTGCCGGTGGCACGCAGCGTCCAGAGCTCCGAGCTCCCATGCCGCTGTCCGGCAAGTCCGTTCCCTCCCACCGTGGATACGTCCCTTTTTTCCAGGACAGTCCCAGATTTAAAGACAACCACCGCTAGCATGGCACAGCAGCAACTCCCCACCTCCACCCAGCACGCAAGCGGCTCCCTTGGTGCAGGCAAACAGGGGCACTGCCGGTGGCACGCAGCGTCCAGAGCTCCGAGCTCCCATGCCGCTGTCCGGCAAGTCCGTTCCCTCCCACCGTGGGACTGCCTCCGCTGTGCACCATGAGCCCACAGGCAGCCACCACCGCTGCCGGAGGGGGAGGGGCGCTGGTTGGAGCTGGTGAGCCACTCCTGGGAGCTGCCACCAGAGTCCCAGCAGAGACCTCACAGAGCCCAGATGGCTCCGTGCACGGCCCTTTCTCCCCCCGTCCTTCCCACTCTGCTGGGGGAGCGGCAGTGCATGGACCCACTTGCAAGCCGGGTCCGGGGGATGGGGGCTTTCTCTCCCCCCCCTCTTGTAGTCCCCCCCCCTCCTCCTAATGGGAGCCAAAACTGGTGCAGGGACTGGAATGCAGCACTAACATTAGCACCACGGGTGGCCCAGTTCCAGGCCCAGCAAGCGGTCCTGCCTTGGAAGCAGCTGGGGCCAAGGCCACGGAGACTTCTGGGGCCTGCCCACAGACTCCAGCCCCGCAAACTGGAAGGCAAAAGGTGGGGGAAGGGGCTCCGAGAGAACTAGGGGGAAGGAGGGTGGGAGATGAAGGGGCTTGTGCAGAGGGGAGGGAGGCAACGCAGGAGAAGAAAGGGGAAGGTACCAAGGGACAGGGTGGAGGAGACAAATGCCAGGGGGCCAAGTGGAGCCCATGAGGAAAAGGGCAGGATGAGGGAGGGGAGGTGTCAGTGGGGGTGGGAGGGGACAGGGTGATGCTGGGCAAGAGGAACGGGAGGTGCTGGGAGAAAGGAGGGGCGGGCATGAGGAAGGCAGGGATGGAGCAAGTCATGTGAGGGCGCAGAGGGTGATGAAGGGATGGGCATCAGGGAGAAGGAAGGCAAGGGGAGCAGGGGCAGTGAGGGAAGGGGGAGGCACCAGGAGGGTGCAGGGCTAAGGGAAGGTGCAGGTGCCAGGGGATTCTGGGGGTGAAGCAGAAGGGCAGACACCTGCAGAGGAGAGACCAGCACCAGGGATTCGGGGGGAGGGGGGGGCAGTGGCAAAACATCCCCTATAGCTGTGCTTCTCACCTGGTGGTCCATGGTGACTTTTTCAGTGGTCCACAGGAACATTGTCCAAAGTCACACGGCATGAGCAGGAGCCGCCGTTAGGCTGTTTTATGCCGTGTTCACAAGCACGTGACGCATCACCTAGGACGCAACCATGTTGTGTTGCCAGTAACGTCCGTCTGAGGCTCTGAGTATCTGTAGCTGCTGCCATCGTGCTGAGCAGCTGCGGTGTCGTCCGTCCTGTGCTGTATGTGCTGGAGGTGGTCCACGAACATTTTTTGATTGGCCTGGTAGTCTGTGGACTGAAACGAGTTGAGAACCACTGACCTACGGGTAGGAGGATGGTGGGAAAAGTTCTTAGAGGGGGTTACTTTTACTTCTGGTCATGTGTCCATCTTGACCCCGAGAGTCAGGGACATAGTAAACAGAGCTCAACAAAAATCCTTGGTGTTCTCTATAAAAAAAAATTGTTTGGTGTTCCTTCGTCTTCAAAAGTTTAAGAAACACTGCCATGTAATCAAACGTGCCGTTTCGGCAGGCAAAGCAGGACACAGGAATCTCATCCCTGAAATGACCCAAGAGAATGGTTTCAGGGTTAAGTTCAGCTGTTTAAATTGGCCTTTCTTCCATAGCCGGACGGGCAGCTGATGTACTGTGCTTTTTACTTTACCCAGCAGAGATTTGGCTCCTGCAGGGAGGCGTCCCCTACTTTCCCAAGTAGCTAACATTTGGAAGATTCAGACACTCCGAAACCCCTAGGTAAATAGTGGAATGAGTTCTCCCTTCAAACAAAGGCAACCGCAAGTGGGTGACAGAACCAGGCTGGTTTGGTAACAGAAAAGCTACACGTCCCTGGTACTAGAAGTACCTAGATTGAAGCCTGTGATGGGAAATGAACACTGTTAGCTGGGGCAGAATCTGTTTGTTGTTCTAAAAGCAGCATTGTTCTTACCACCCTATTTCTTCTTTGTCGAGCCCGCAGGGAGCTTTCATGCCTGTTTGCTCAGAAGGGTCTAGTCCCTGGGCTGTCCTCTAGATTGAAAACCTCTGCTTAAGAGAACAGTTTGGCTGCTTCTACACTGCAGGCTTCTTGCACAAGAACTGTTTTGCGCAAGAGTTCTTGTGCAAAGGTTCTTGCGCAAGAGCGTGTCCACACTGCCATGTGCTTTTGCGCAAGAGCGTCCATGGCAGTGTGAACACTCTCTTCCACGCTCTGATGGCCATTTTAGCCATAGGGGTTTCTTGCGCAAGAGCTCTTGTGCAAAAAGGCTTATCCCTCTTTTCCAACACTGAGCTGTAAATTTACTTGCGCAAGAACGCATGTGAATGTAGACACTCAAAGTTTTTGCGTAAGAACAGATGTTCTTGCACAAAAAGCCTGCAGTGTGGACGTAGCCTTTAAGTTTCCTAACCCCACTACTTGTATAAAGGACACTTTAATCAGTTCGGTCCCAGTCTCAATCCTCCACTTTGTTTTTCTTATTTAAAAAAAAAAAAGCCCCTTAGCACAGCAGCTTGGATAGTTCTGGTATCTCCTTCTTGGTAATAAACTGCTGAATTTAAAGCAACCTGCACCTCCTTTTTATCCTGCCCATCCCTCTGGGATCACGTTTACCTAAACCTCCCCATCCCTAAGCCTATGAAACTGACATGGAGACAGTGCAAATGCCACATACCTAGGTTAAAGGGGGAAAATTCCTTACCAGCTCAGTCAGTGTAACTGCTCCCTAGCTGGATATATGCCAGTCGTTCAAATTCACTTTTAACTAGACTAGCACAGAGGGAACGCTGGCCTTCATAGCAAGCTGTTGTGCTGGCTCTTAAGCCCCCCTCCCTTCCCTCTCCCACACACTTCCTTGCATTCAAAGTTCATCCCTCCCTTTTAATCCTGCAGCCTGTACAAAAAGATGCAATTTTTAAACTTTATTGCCAGGCAAATATGACTTCAGGGTTACCATGTCCCCATCAGGTTTTGCATAGTGAGGTAAGACACCCCCTCTACCCCGCCTTAATACCACACAAACCGAGCCCCATTGGCAGTGAGTGATTTTGGACCCAGGCCACGTGGCATACACCAGGCGCCAGGAGGACAGGGAAGTAACCACATTTGTACCCAGCCTTGAACCAGGCCCCAAAACCATCTCTACTTAAAGCCATGCAAACCAATTAATTAACACAATGTACAGCAGAAGTTTAACCACTAAAAGTTTTAATTGCATTATTACTACAAGAATAAAGAATACCTGAGAGCCTTTTGCAGTGCCCACACTTTTAATGTAGCATAATCAGTTCACAAACCCCCTCTAAAAACAAAATGCAGAATCTCACTTTTTATTTCATTTTATTTTTTTTTTTTTTACACAGAAGTCAATCTAAAGGCACTGAAGTGCATGGGAAATAAAATCACCAAAGATTACAAAGCAATTTGTTCTTCCTCTCTAAAACTGTAGAAATTGTAGGTTTGTCTATATTATTGAACAGCATTTACACTTTCACAGCCCCAAGCTAACACGGTTTTTAAAAGTGTAGGGTGTTGGGGGAGGGAGGAAACAATTAAGACAAAGCGAAAAACAGGACATTTTTAAAAAACGTAGTTACCTTCATTTCAGCTTGGTTACTCTCACTAGGCGGAACTAAATGGCTTACAAATAGTTCCCACTGCACGACAGCTGCACACCATGTTGGAAGGCAGGTTGTAACAAACATTGGGAATACTCGATTGCAAATTTATACAAACAGTAAAAAGGTTTTTTTTTCTCCAAAACCTCAAATGCTGCTGCTTAACATTCAGGTGGATCCAAAAAATTGTTTACTATGAACGCAACAACCAACCACATTTGTTCCTTTCAACCAAACCGTTTTCGGAGGGGGGAAGTGTTATCCCAGTGAACTTAAAAACAGCAACGTTTTCTAAACAAGAAAAAATAAATCACAACAGTAGCTTTTTTTTTTTAGTGTATGTTACAGAACTTTTTACACACAGTTATTCAAAATAACCCAAAGTTAAGTTACCAAAAAGAATTACTCACACAACACCCTAACTGAAGCCAAAGCAACAAACAAAAGAAGAAATAATTTTTTCCAAACATGATTTAGGGTTGTAGCCCTTTTCACAATTTTGAACTCCTTGTGGGTGCTGCTGCAATACTGGCAGCCCCAAGCTGCTATTAAAATGCTTCCGAGCCCTTAACTTGGCTGTAACATTGGTCATGCAGTGTAGGAATGCGTTATCGGTGGGGGGCGGGGGGAGGGCAGTGTTACACTGGCAGATAAGGGGAGCGGAAGGGAAGATGAAAGCTGAACACAAAGGGTCAGTTTCAGGGCAGTGCTTGTTCTCATCAATGGACGTGACCCAGTGGAGTTTTTCCTGCCATTCCTCTTGGATGGAGGCCCTGCAAGTTTGCAATGCCAGCTGTCGTGGGGTGTGCGCTGGAACCGTGGGCAGAGCCAAGGTATATAGGTGGGGAATGAACGCATTTGGGTCAGTCTAAGAACTGAATTCTGCAAACTTTCTTTAAAAGATGGTTTAGTTTCCCCCTCTGCTTCTAATGAAGCCAGCTCGCTTACCACCCTCCCACCCCCGTTATTTACAACCAGCCGGGAGCTTAGGGATGGGGGAGGTTAGAAACCCCTGGCAGAAGTTAACAGACTGTTCCTAACGTCCTTGGAGCCAAAATCCAAGTTCTCTCAGCAGCCCCAAGCCAGGAAATGGGAGTCAATGCTCCCCTCTTCTGTTACCAAAGATCCTCTTGCCTCATCATTGCTTAGCCTGGGGGAGGGATAGCTCAGTGGTTTGAGCATTGGCCTGCTAAACCCAGGGTTGTGAGTTCAATCCGGGGGGAGGGCATTTAGGGATCTGGGGCAAATGTGTCAAGAGATGGTACTTGGTCCTACCATGAGGGCAGGGGACTGGACTTGATGACTGTTCAAGGTCCCTTCCAGCTCTATATATATACAAACCATTTCAAAGCAGCAACACTGAACAAGGCCTAGGGGTTCCACCTCACCCTACAACTAAGATTAAAGCCCAGCCCTCGACCAGTAAGACCTGGGGGAAGGGGAACTTGGATGCATCCTTTGTGGCCCTTGCCATCCCCTCCCCCAAAAAAAAAACCTGCAACAAAAGCTGGTTTTGGTTTTGATTAACTGTTCTCTGACCCTCACAGCTGTGAAGAGATTTCATATTTGTGGGTAACTTGGTTCATTTTTTCTTTTTTTTGGTAAAGAGAGAAGAGTTCACAAGCAGAGACTGTTACAAGTACTAGCAATGGGGTGAGGGATTTAGGGTTGGACTAATCACCGGTCTGTGAGTTAGAGGGATTGTCATGGGAAGCAGGCAAAGATCAAATGAAGCCGTTTCTGGCTTCTCAGACACCCTTTATATGGTACATGTAGGGTTAACTGCACTGCCTTGACTAAGTCCATTTCCCTGTCAGCCCTCACTTCCTGAGGCTACCGCTTTCATTTTCAAGACACACACACACACACACACACACACACACCCACCCACCCCCCACCTGCAGCTGCAGCTCAATAGCCAAACGTTTCCTTTGAAATCCAGGTCCCATGCAGCTGTCCACCCTGTCCACGGATTTCAGTCCGGAAAGAGCACAACATCCAGAACTGGTTGAAGTTAGTGCAAGAGAACCTGTGAAGAGGATTCAAAACAGGTCCCCCTTATGCACATGCATTCAGAGGGGGAACTGAGTGAGTGAACCAACCAAGGAAACGCAGATCGATGCTGTCAGTTAAGATACCAGGCAACTAACTCAGAGCCAGGCCAAGATTTCTTCCCGGAGCTCAAGATGAAAATACAAAAGAAGCAAAGTTTAAAAAAAAAAAAAAAAAAAAAGTTGGATCCTGCTGTGATCACCTTAGAGTAACAAATTCCCAGCCAGTTCCCTGTCCTGGGAGGTGGCTGGTGGCTTCCCCCACCTGTCCCCACAGCACGCCCAGAGAGCCTCCTTTCGGACAGGTCTGAATGTGGCACAAGCAGACTCCCAGGGAGCAGGGGAAGCGCCCATCAGAAAGGGCAGACACAGGGCTCGGGAAAGGTGCCAATTAAGCAGCTGAGCCTGCATGCAACATCTGCCCTCTGAGCTGGAGAGAACAATCCCTGGGCTACAGACAATGCCCCTGCTGGGTCGGAACGACCAACTGCCTTGTTCCAATGCAGGGAAGCCACAGCCCCGACCAGCCGGGCCCGGCGGCAGCATTCCGAGCGGCGTACCAACCGTTTGCTTCCCGTGTAGTCTCAGAGCCCCGCTAGACCCCTGACTCCTGCCCTCGCTGAGCTGTTGCTTCCCGACACTGTAAACCGGGCAACTCCTGCCCCTCAACCTAAGACCCACACTGGGCTCAGCTGGGCCACCAGCCGAGAGAAGCCAGGGAGCGGATCTGTCCGACATGCCTCTAAGCTCTCGGGTCTCGTCACAGCTTCTGTATCCAACCTACTTGTATTAAAACGGTGCGGGGTGGGGGAGAGGGGTGCGCCCGCTGGGAGCCTGCCAAGAGCTCTGCGCAGAGATTATATACACGCGCTGCCCTCTCGCTCGGCCCTAGTTCTCGGGGCTCACGTTCTGCCTGGCTCGGATGAAGGCCATGCCGTGGGTGCGGAAGTGCGTCTTCAGGTTGAGCTGGGTGTCGAAGCACTTCCCGCACACCTTGCACGCGAGTTTGCCGTCAGCGGGGCGCGGGGCCCCTCCCTCGTGGTCGCTGCGAGGGCTGGGCTCCTCCAGCTCCCCCGCCCCCTTCTTTTTCTTGTGGGTGATGAAGCGGTGGCGGTTGAGGGAGACCTGGGAGGTGAAGCACAGGCCGCACTCGCGGCACTGGTGGGAGCTTTCGTCTGTCCTGTGCTGGGGGATGTGCTCCTGGAACTCGGCCGCGCTGCAGGCGATGTAGCCGCACTTGCGGCAGCGGAAGGGGGCTTTCCGGTCGGCCTTGGGGGTCTTGGAAGGCGGCGTGGTGCTGTCCGGCTCCTCGCTGCACGAATCGCCGTCGTCCGAGGACAGCTTCCGCTTCCTGCTGGACACCTGCGAGGAGGAGTTTGGAGAGCTTGACCCTCAGTGCAGGAACCTGCTGGGTGTTTGAACTGGCACTGCCAGACCGAGGCAATGAACGCGTCCCTCCCCCGCCTCGGACACGCAGCTCAGACAAGATGCTCCTTCGGCTACCTCCTACCCATGTGGGCTCTGGTTGGATGAAAATCCCAACACGATTGGCCACTCTGGCAGCCTTCTCGACCCCTCCCTCCTCCACTCCTTGGCCTAACTCCGTTCCCCCTGCAGCCTCAGCTAAACTGCTCCTGAGCTCCCCTCTAGTCCCCGTGCCTCCCCAGCCAGCCAAAGGCCAGGGAGCTACGCAGGGTGGCGCTGGCGCATAACATGGGACCAGGTCAAAGGAAAAGGCCCTGGCAGGAAGTTTAAAAGGGAGTAGCTCTCCCACTCGCTGAAGTTCCCACATCTTGGCTCAATGATATTCTTCCTTCTAATCCCCCCCACCCTGCTGGAGAGGAGATTCTTACCTTCCTGCCCTGCCCTATTGCACTTCGTTGCTGTGGGTGGTTCTAATGGCCGCTAGGTTCCCCCCAAGAGGCGGCTGCTTTGTTTGTAAGCTATATGAACCCCTCCAGACCCCCCTTTCTCATAGCTGCGCTCGCCCGACTTTGCCGCCATTGGCCCCGTACCTGCAAGGTTCCGGACCCCGTGCGGGCAATGACGACCTCTTGGCTCTTGGTCTGGTCGGTCACCTTGATCCCGTGCCGCACCTGAATGTGCTTCTCCAGGATCAGCCGGCTGCTGAAGGTGCGCTTGCCTTCGGTGCAGTACCTGGGAAGGAGCACAGTCAGGGAGGCAACGAGGCTCCCCCGGACATCTTGCAACCGACGACCCCTAGACCTGCCCTACTGCTTCCATCTCAAGGTGATCTGCAGGCGCCAAGCCCCCTCCACCAGGGAAAGCACCTGGGAGAGATGACGAGACTGGTGGAGCTCACCCAGGAAGTCAGTGGCAGAACCAGGCCCAGGAGCTGGGAGCACTACAACTCGGAAGCCTGCCCCCTAGATTTACTCTCCCTTCCAAAGCTGAGAACCCAGCCCCTTGCCTCCCCCCAGCTCGGGCAGCCCTCCAGACTGCACCAACGCCTCCCCCCGAGCTTCGGGTGGAAGGGAGGAGCAGCTGGATCCCTTTCACCTCCCAAACCGGAAGGAGAAGAGGCTGCTGGGTACCGGCAGGGATAGACTCGCTTGATTCCCTCGTGGTTCACTCGCACGTGTCTCCGGAGGCTGGGGGCGGAGCAAAACGAACGCTCGCACAGACGGCACGGGAACTTTTTCACCGACTGGAAGAAGCAAGGGGAGAGGGGAGAAACTGAGGCACTCCTTGTCCTGGTTGCATCCCCAGCTAGATGAGGGAATGCCCTGCAGCAGCCAGCACATGAGCCGCAGAGAGACTTAGCATAGCTCCCCTCAGTGACGGGCCGATAAAGGGCATAGCCTGGGAGGGTGTAAGATGGCCTCTCCTACTCCTCTGAATGGGTAACACCACCTGCCCTGCCACTGCGTCAGTGGTCAGACAGCCCCTCCTCCCTCTGCATGGATGGAGAAACTGAGGCACGGAGAACTGATTGCTTGCTAAGGTGACACAGAATCAGGAACAGAACCCAAAAAAGACCCCAGAGGACAATTCTCCTGCTGTAACCATTAGAGCACAGCACCCTGCCCCAGCCAGGAACAGAGCCCAGAGGACAATTCTCCTGCTGTAACTATTAGAGCACAGCATCTTCCCTCAGCCAGGAACAGACCCCAGGAATCCCAATCCCCAGCCGCTGCTCGGCACAATGTATGAAATGCTGCCTTCCCCACGGCCTCGGCGTGTCCACAGGGCCAGGCTCCCACTGAGCAACCTCCAGCAGCTCTGGGATTCCCTCTCACCTTCCCGTGGTCCTTCTTCATGTGGGAGACGTACTCGTCCCTCTCCGGGAACCAGGAGTGGCACATCCCGCACGTCCAGCCGCTGCTCTTCGACTTGCTCGCGTCCGTCTTGCGCTGGAAGCGGGCCCGCTTCGTCTTGGGCAGCTCCGGGGAGCTGGGCGGCTCGTCCTCCTCCGAGGACGAGGACGACGACTCGGACAGCTTGGAGACGGGGGCTTCGACGGGCTCCTCCTTGGGGATGAGCAACGTGGCCGGCTTCTTCACGAGGTCCTCCTTGGGCTTCTGTGGCTGGTGAGTGTTCAGGAAAACACAGACTGGGGCATCAGCCTGGCCAGGCTCAGATCTGGCCTCCAGTAGCAGCCCCTGCCTGGCAGCGCTCCCAGAGGGGACGCAAACCAGTCGCACCCCAGAACCTGGAGGTGATCAGTTTGCACCTGGAAGCCGGAGACAACCCATCGCCCTGCCCAGACGGGAGCGGTGTCGCTACACTAGGGAGGTAAAACCCTGTTTAACTAGTTAACCCACTAAACAATAAATTTAACTGGTAAATCGATTACACGGGGTGGGTGTGCTCCCCCCTCCCCCGCAGCCGGGCTGGAATGGCCCTGCCCACAGCACGCCTGCACTGGGCCCACCACAATCGGGGGCTGCTCACCCCTCACCGGTTAACTGTAACCAGTAAGCCTCACCCACCAAGGATGAGGCTTCCTGGTTAACCATTAACAACCCAGAGAAGAGCAGCAAAAATGATGAAAGGTCTAGAAGACATGAGCTATGAGGGAAGACTGAAAAAACTGGGCTTGTTTAGTTTGGAAAAGAGAAGACTGAGAGGGGACATGGTTGCGGTTTTCAGGTATCTAAAAAGGTGTCACAAGGAGGAGGGAGAAAATCGTTCCCTTTTGCCTTTGAGGATAGGATAAGCAGCAATGGGCTTAAACTGCAACAAGGGAGGTTTAGGTTGGACATTAGGAAAAACTTCCCACCTGTCAAGGTGGTCAAACACTGGAATAAGTTGCCCAGGGAGGTTGTGGAATCTCTATCTCTGGAGATATTTCAGAGCAGGTTAGATAAATGTCTATCAGGGATGATCTGGACGGTTCTGGGTCCTGCCGCGAGGGCAGAGGACTGGACTTGAATTTGTGAGATCCCTTCCAGTTCTAGCGTTCAAGGACTCTAACCCAATCTGGGACGGGGAAAGGCAAGAGGTGGAGAAGTCCGTGTGCTCTCAGTAATGCTCCTATTACTGTAGCCTTTTGCAGAAGCACTCAGCAGACCTGACTGGGACATCCCGGAGTAGGCACTGTACACAGAGGGTGTGTCTAGACTACATGCCTCCTTCGACGGAGGCATGTAGATTAGCCAGATCGGCAGAGGGAAATGAAGCCACGATTAAAATAATCGCGGCTTC